TTCTTCGCATATTTGCGGCAGTCGTTGATAAATACAAGTACCTCGTTGCGTTAGTGACTTGACGATTCTGTTTTCGAAGCTGTCTGTTTGTAACACGCGGTTTTGAATTTTTTTCCCCGACTCGAAACTTCCTCGAAACGCCGTGGTTTCGGGCCCGAGATCGTTCTCTCCCTCTCTCTCTCTCTCTCTGTCGTTCGCTCGGCGATGTCTCAATTGCGCGATAACAACGATGATTTTCGATGATAAGGCTGGATTCACACTGTCCGCCGATCCTTCGGATCAAAATATCCGCCACTGTCATATTTAATGTCAAAAGCGTCGAAGAATGTTCAAATTAATAACAGTAATAATATTTGCTTTATTAACCCTTTGCACTCGAGGGCTCCGGAGCGGAGCCATTTAAAATTTGTCTTCAAACTTAAAACAAACTATTAACAACTATTAACAAATTAACAAAATTAAAAAAACAATAACATACAACAACTTTTTTTTAAATGCGCATATCATTTACTTATATGTGAATATGATCTTTCCACTGAAATTGTTTCGAGTTGCTGGTAATATGAATGAAAAAAAACTTCGAGTGCAAAGGGTTAACGTTGGAAAATGTTTCGACCGAAGATTAGCGGACAATGTGAATCCCGCCTTACTCGGCAGAACGGAGAAGCATGACGTTCGGAGTGAATTTCGCTCGCAATCCGAACGTGACAAATCGACGGATTTTCCATTTCGATGACTCTGTTTTGTGGATTTTATAATTATTGAAAATATTGTCGAGATGCAGGACACGAATTTTCCGATCAATTGTGACATACAAAAACGCGAAATCTCACGGGCACAATTGTTTTACGTACAATAAATGTCTTAAGTCTTAAGCCTTGAGAGATTAACCAATTACAGCCGAGAGTGAGGGGAACGATCGACCGTGATTGACCAATCCCTCAAGGCTTAAAACATTTATAGATTACGGGGATTACCGATTCTTGTCTCTCATCGGCAAGTTATGAACGCGCCGGTTTCGAACGTCCGGACGCGCAGGACGACGTTTGTTTACGCGACGAGTCGCCGACGAGACGACGATATTTGCAGCCACGACATTTTGCCGTGCTTGAAAATGAGCCTCGTCGTCACAATCGAATTGCGAGCCACCACGCGTTCTGTCGTTCGCCTCGCTCGGAGTTCCCGCGGCAGACAGAAAACCCGGGCGAAGTCGAGGAATGAAGAGCGATCGAACATCCCGATGGAGAACAGGGAGACGCGCGATTCTCATTATCGCTTTCAGGCCGGACCTTCTCTCGACGAGGCAACTCGGGAGGCGAGAGGGCGAATTCACCCCTCGATTCCCGCCACCCTCTCGCCCCGCTTGCTTCCCTCCTCCCGCTTGTACGCACTTGTCGTAAATTCCCGCGTCCCGCGCGGCATTTTGCGACAGGGCTTGCAGGAGGGAAAGACGTCCGGTATCCTTGGAGAATTTGAAATTGAACCGTTGATAAATACTATTGGACCATTGGATTCTGTTTTCGCGACCGTGTTTGCCAAGTGATGTTTGTGAATTTCCGCTCGCGGCGAAGAAATCTTCCCCGAAGCGATCCTGAACGGGGTTCCTTAAAACCGTTCGCATTGTTAATTGATTAATTGATTACTTAATATTCGGTTGAGCAGTTAACCTACACACAGAGCACAGAAACTTGCGGGAAAATGTTTCGGTGTACTCACAGCAAAATGGGAGTGAATTGTACAAATGAGAGAATCAATGCCGAGTTACGAATGTTGGTATGAATTTAATTGTAAATTAATAAATTCGAATTTCGACGCGCATCATGGCGAGTGGACATAAATTAAACCGTTCATTAATTCACACATGCTGAAGGGAAGCCGCCTCTTTTCGCGCACTAATCAGTTGACCGATCATTCTCGTCGTACGGTGCGAATTTGCGCGCAAAGTCGTCGGCGCCTCTCCCGTCGTCGCGCGAGTATGAATCAAGAGAAGAGCCGCGTTTACGCAACGTGTACACGCGGCTAAATATTATTGTCGTCATTGTTATCGGCGAGGCTCACCTCATATTTTGTCCACGAAAGGAACGAAAATTTTGGAATGAATGTTCGATTTCATCGTTAACAAGAAGATAATGGTAAGAATGACATTGATGATAATGATAAAAAGAAAACGATAATGAAAGGGAGAGAGAGAGAGAGAGAGAGAGAAAGAGAGAGAGAGAGAGAGAGAAAGAGAGGGAAAGAGACAATAGTAAAGAAGAACGAGGTAAGAAACGGGTAAAGATCGAAGTACGAATTTTGCGCAGTCGGAGCTCGTTAAACGATCGATAAACCGCCCGTTACAATCGACATTCTTCGTCTACGTACCGCGACGAGGAGACAAAAATGTAAACAAATGTCTGGATCATCATCGCTCGAATACCTTTCGGATTCGTTTATCGTCGTTGTTCATTCCGTCGCTCGTTTGCCATTCCCGCGAATTATCGTTCCACGATATATCCGGGCGAAATTGTTGTTCGCGTTATTACGGCAGACACGCTTCATACAAACAGGAATTCGGTTTGTGCCCGACTAACAGACAGAGAAACGAAGAGAGATATTTGTCGTCGGGCGATTTTGTTCGCGTAATTCCACGATTGTAGAATTATTCCGACGTTCCGGTCAATTTGAAGACGGTGAATGATTACTCACTCGCGCGTATGGCGGAATAAATTTCGATTGTCGATATTTGCGACGGTAGACGAATGCGAATTCGAGAGCGAGCCTGAATATTTATACGGGCCGATAATTAATTATTTATTCGTCGCATTACGTAGCACGTAATAAATAACAGCAACGAATAATTTGTTCCGTGTCTATAGCATGATTATTTATATTCATTATTATTATGTAAGCTATATTATTTTACATAAAGTTTATATCGCATTCATATTATTGTAATTAGTATATAAATGATCATTTTATCGTAATAAAAATAGATTTTTGCTATCGAGAACGGGAAACTGAGTAAGCGTCAGTTCGGATCAGTGTCCGTGAAACTGATGTCCCGAAACGAGAACTCGTACAAAATTTTCGTCCCTTTCCTTATGTAATCCATGACATTCTTTTGTCGTCACACGACGAATCTGCAAAATAACGAAGGGGATTCATTTTGAATGAATCTCGTCTCTTTCCAGTGAAAGGAAAATAAAAAAAAAGTGCGTAGTCACTGCTACATCATTTTTATATTTTTTTTGTTCATCCTTGGGGCCCATCTATTCACGGGTTTTGTCGCTAACAATCACCTTATATTGGGGAAAAAAAAACTGACTCCGCAGCTCTTCGAAATGTGAACTTTGTATTGCATCGAGCAATGCAATTAACCTGTGACTTCAAATCAGGTCAGAGTTCGTTGTTCAAGAAAATTTCCTCGCCCGACGAACGAAAATATCTAATAAACAAAGTGTAGTGTCGGAGCAAAGGTTTGTCAAGCAAAAGAGGGAGCAAAATTATTTAATTTCGCGCTCTCTAAACTTCTTGGGGCGAAATCTTATTCGAAAATAGGAAAACCGGAAAAAACTGGTTCAAAACATTGTAATTTGTATTGACGCCTGAGGTAAAAATGAATGCGAGAAGTGAACCAATTTTTTTCGGAAATGGGCATACCAATCGAGCGACCTTTATCCTTTTTTCAGGTTGCGTATTTATAAACTTTAATTCATTTTTGCCTGACCTTTCCATCCCGAACAATAGTTATGTTTCAAAAACGTTTTAATACTGTCAACTTGTGCTTGGGATTTTGCTGACATTGATGACATTTGCCCAAATTTGTAACTATCGGTGAGCCTTTCGAACCCTTAAGAATACGGCGTTTTAAATCGTAAAAGATAAAGATCTCCAGGTAAAAAAAAGAGAGAAAGAGAAAGAAAAGTAAAGCAAAAGGGAGAGAAAATTAAAGCGAAACCTGTCCCTTTTCTCGAAGGGTTTTTCTACTTTTAAAAATGAATCGAGCAGTCCTCGTTTATCATTCGTCCAGTGAGCAAGGACTAAACTTGGCGACTTTTTTTAAGGATCACGTCAAGATAGGCAGAGACTCAGTCGACACGGGGGCATCCCGTGTGCATGCAGCGAAACAACAACAGCAAGAAGAACCGTTATCGAAGAGCGAAGGTACCCCACTCTATCTTCAACCACGCCCGCTTGGGGTGATAGAACCGTGGTGAGTAATCGCGCGACCCCTCGCCGATCCGACTCACCCCCGAATCCCACCATCTCTTTTTCTCCCTTTCTCTAGATTTTTCGGCACGAGTCTCCCCGCGCATGTAGCGTACTTCACTCTTCTCATCCTTCAAATTGTTCCCCCTACGCCGGAAACGAAACAAAATGTCGCTTCGATGGCAGTGGTTCGAAAGTGAATGTTTTCGGCTGGAAACTCCGAATTTGATAAAAATGACTTTTGCGACTGCAGAAAGTGTCTTTAAAGGTGGGAAGTAACTATTTGTATGTAATACAAAATTGATTTCGCCTTTCTTCTTTTTTTAGATAAATACAAAATAGTTCGAATATTTTTTTATCAATAGCTTTTCCTAGGCGTCGTTTCTTCCCTTTTAGATGTTGAATATTTTTGAATATTCTTGAATAATTTTACGTAGTCATTTAGTAGAGTATTTTGACTTTCTGATCCTCTTCAGACCTCATAGAGAAGACACATTGTCTGAGAGATTCAATTCCTAATTTAATTCCTTCATCTATTTCTTCCGTTGGATGAAAACGAGTGGCCGAAGCCCGCGTTTTCGTCGCTCTCCCGCGACTTTGCGCGTTTTCGCTCCGTTTTTCTCGGAGAAGAGAATGACTCGGAGCAAACTGACGCGACTTCCTTCCACAGCAGTTGGGGACAGTCCGACGACAAGAACGAGGAACTTAACAATTGCGCGGCACTCGACATCGAGACGCTGCGACGTCGCTGCGAGCGTCTCTCGATAACCACCGGCTTTAGCTGCAGCAGCGGGTGCTGCGGCGATAGCATGCGATCATCCGCCTTGGACAATTCCCTGATGCCGTTTGAAACTTACCAAAACCCGAGCCCGGTGTTGAGCTTGGATAACAGCCCGCGGTCCGAAGAGTCCGAGCAGCAGGACACCATGATGGAGCAACACGATCCGGGGCAGGGGCCATCCAGCGGCGACCTGCAGTACAAGTGCTCGATCTGCGACTTTACCACGACCAACAGGTAAGAGTCGGTCGCTCTTCGCGATTGAGATGATTGTTACACTCGATTGTTGTCAAGTCAAGTTCATAATCCATAGTTGTACACATACACACATACACATATTTAAACACTTATACAGAATGGTTTAAAAGGCTGGGAACGTCCGATTACCTTCGTACTCTACCTTGAAAGTTTCACTCAGCACGCTGACAATCGCGCTACATCATACCGCATCTCTCTTTCTTCCAGGGTGGAGATCTTCCAACACTTGACCGAGCACATAGTGTCCAAGAGCAGCAACAACAACCAGGAGGTCGTCAACATGGCGATGACGCAGCTGCGGCACCTCCAAGCGGTGGAAGGCAACTCCTTGTCGTCGAGGGACGACCAAGAGCTCAACAACAGCAACAACGACAACGGCAACAACAACAACAACTGCACCAAGGAGCCGGGGATGCGGATGCCGCGTGTGACCTCGCAGGGCAAGATAAAGACTTTCCCGTGCAAGAATTGCGACTTCAAGGCGGTGACGAAGCTCGAATACTGGGGCCACATACGCGTCCATATCAAGCCGGGCAAGCTGATGAGCTGCTACAAGTGCCCCTTCGTCACGGAGTACAAGCACCACCTGGAGTACCACCTGCTGAATCACACCGGCGCCAAGCCGTACAAGTGTCCCAAGTGCCCGTACACTTGTGTGAACATGTCGATGTTGAACAGCCACATGAAGTCGCACTCGAACGTCTACCAGTATCGGTGCAACGACTGCAAGTACGCCACCAAGTACTGCCACACGTTGAAGCAGCATCTGCGCAAGCACCGTCACCAGCCGGCGGCGGTGTTGAACGCGGACGGCACTCAGAGCCCGGTGGTGATCGACGTCTACGGGACGAGACGCGGGCCCAAGCAGAGGCCGAAGAACAGCAACGCCCCTGCCGACGACAGTCGAGGACCGCCGGCGGAAGAGTCGGGCACCACCACCGCCGCCACGCAGACGCTGCTCAACAACGGAAGTAACGGCAGCGGCAGCAACAACGGCAGCAGCAATACCCAGCAGTCTACGTCGACGTCGCCACAGACGTCCTCGTCTACGCCCGCGCCGTTTACCCTTGGCATGTTGGCGAACATATTCCACGGCAGGAAGAACGGCAACCTGCCGGCCCAGGACAGCCAGGTGACGGTCCAGAATATGACTCATTACCCCCTCCAATACCATCAACAACTGTTCGCCACGCTGAACATGGCGACGCAGCAGCTGATGCCGAATGGCGGCCTCGTCTTCGGCGAGCCGACGACGCCGTCGCCGGCGGCGTCGAGCGACGAGGAGGAACGGCGAACCATCATGACGACCCCGGGGAAGAGCATCGCCGATAAGGCCGCCGAGTTCCTCCAAGGCTGCCTAACCAACAACCTGCCGGTCGGCCGAGAAGAAAAGCGGCTAGAGGAGGAGCTCAACGCCAGGGACGTGCCGTTGGACCTGACCTCAGCCTCGCTGAGGAACGAGCTGCCGTGCCAGCAGGTGCCGCTGAACCTGGCGCACTCGCCGAAGGCGACCGGTACTAGGAGGCGCAAGGGTGTCGCCGTGAAGCTCGAGCACCGGGTAGTGGAGAAGGAGGACACGGACGAGGAGATGACGCAGAGCGGGAAGCGGCTCTGCCAATCGAGCTCACCCAAGGCCGGCTCAGCCTCCTTCACGACCTCATCCACGCCCTCGCCCAAGGCCGCGTCAGCACCGTTCACCTCGTCCTCTCCGGACGATTTCGCTGGACCGGCCCGGAAGCGCGAGGAGGCGTACGGCTGCCTTTCCAGCGGGGATTACTACTTGTGCCCGCACTGCAACATCAAGTACACCGACGAGGTATACGTCGCACACATGAACTACCACGGCCGCGTGGACCCTTTCACGTGCAATATCTGCCGCAAGTCGTACGGCAATAAGTCGAAATTCCAGTTGCACATCTACAAGCAATGGTGTGCGTCTCTCACAGGTAGTGGGAGCGCCCAGGGCCCGGGAGCTCCGGGCATCCGTTATGTGCATGAAGGCTGTGAAAGAGAAAGGAAATAAATTTGTGTTGTGAATTGTATTGTATATTTGTGTATTGTGAATGTGCCAGCGGAATAAAGACAGAAAGAGAGCAAGAGCGAAAGAGAAAGAGAGAGAGAGAGAGAGAGAGAAAGAGAGAGGAAGGAAAAAGGAAAGAAAAAAAATAGCTTCTTTTCGCGCTTTTCTTCCTTTTCCTCCTTCTCCGCCCCTCTTTCTCTCTGTACCCAAGTTCCTAGGAGCGGCGTAGCGCTCGCGTGCAAAATATGAATCCAAAGAAATCGTACTCTGGATAGGGGACCGCGAGTGTTCTCTCCACGAAGAGTCCTAGTCAGGGTAGGCGTTCTGAATTGAGGACGGGCGGGATTTCAGAGCGAGAGGAAGATCTTCCCGCTCGATCTGTTTTTTCTTTTCTTTACCTCCTTTTACGTTTTCCCTTTCACCGCTCCTTCCTCGTCGCCGTACCACCTCGCACTTTTCATTTTTTCTTTTTTCCTCGTGCCTGGATGTGGGTGTCCCCGGTATTTCGCTTTTCCCTTCGATCCTCCCCGCATTCGACGTTGGCGCGGCGCCGAGCGAACTTTTTGAATATCTAGCGGACTTCTCGCCGAGAGAGGGAAAGAGAGCGATACCTTTTATTTAAGACTGCGCCTTTATGATCGAACTGCTCCTTCGTTGCGGCAGTTCGATGTGACGCATAAGTTAATGACGTATTGATAGTTTTTTTATATTCGCGAGTCGGCGCTTGTTCGACGTCGCGAGAATGAAATCCCTTATTACTTCCCGGCCCTGATTGGAGGCATATGTAAATGATAATATATGAAAAAATAAATAAATAAATATATATATATATATATATATCTGTATGTAAAGAGATATAGTAAGGTAGCTAGAGGGAGAGAGAGAGGAAGACAAATGATATATATATATGATGATATATTTTTATATATTGAGTACACAGGGAGTATACATAGAATCTGCGGCTTGCGACGTTACGTACAAATCCGTTAGGTCTTCTCACTTCGCGACAGGATTTTGAATTTTTGCGCAATGCAATTTCCACTCAATTTACGCTACAAAAATAATTAATTTCCGGAAAGCCCGTTTTGTTTTCTTTTCTTTATCCGTGTGTGGAAAATATTTTTTGCAGTATGAAAATGTTCCTTCAGACGTAGAGAAGCCACTGTGAATAGGGGATGAATTTTTAGGTAACGCTCGTTGTTCGTCTCTCTCTTTCGCGAGAGAAAGAGGGAAAGAGACAGAGAGAGAGAGAGAGAGAGAAAGAGAGCCGCTGAGAATTACGTTTGACCTAGTCTTTATTTTCGATCGTTATTTGTAGCGAAGAATACGAGTGCGTCTCGCGTGTTGAGACTGAAAACCGACGGCACAAATCATTGGCAACGCGATCGTTTATGTCGATTATTTCTCTGGTCGGTATGCATGCGAGAATTAAGGTCGATCTGAGATATATTATTAGCAACGAAATCAGTCATTTTTCTAAATGAATGTACAATTAAACATATTCAGAATTTACATGTGTATATTATTAATAACGAGAGATTCGTTTAATTTTCCCCCTCCCTATCAAAGTTGTGGAAATAAATTAAGGAGGCGTGATTCAAATAAATATACGGCAATTTGCAAAATTTTCAAGCCGGGTAGGATTTTTCGAACTAATTGACGAAAGCTTTCGTTCGCATTTTGCGTGAAATTTCCCATGCATCTTATCAGTAAATTACCTTCTGACGGATCTTCATACGTGAGTTTAATCGTGTCTTGAACTGCAAGAGAAAAGCTTCGCTTCCGATTCTGTTTCCATTATTCAATATCATATACATAAGAAATAACATTCCGATCTCCGTCTTTTAGCGAAAGATTCTTAAAGAGTTACTTCATGAGAAAACGTAAAAGAAATCCATTTTCACCTTGATACGACGAAATTATGATCTACGAACATGTGTGGTAGATAGTCAGACAGTTGTCAAAATTACATACACATGTATCCTCTATAAAAAGAGTATAAAGGAATATCAAAAAGAGGATGAAAGATGAAAATACGATATCAGACTGCACGAATACACGAACGGAAAGGATGCCGGCAGGAGGGAAATCGCATATCGGTGCGAGTCGCAGCGCAACACTGCGAGTCATCCCTTCCTCGGAGGCGACCCGGCGCTGGCAACGTGAGGGATGATGACGTCCGGCTCATACGAGACGCGTGTGCGATAACGGGAAGGGAAGGGAAGGAAGGGGAGTGAGCTTTCTCGGGGAAGAATGATCAGGGCTCTCCGAGAGAACGGAGAGAGGACGGACCGGCGAATGAGCGAGAGAATCAGAGATGGAATCGAGGGTTGGCGAGAGGCGCGTCGGAGAGAGAGGCAACGCGCCGCAGTTACGGCAGTATCTATGAATGCGAAAGATGGCCCTACTACCATTGGACAGAAAATTAAGGCTGGGCTGTGGCAGAAAAGTAGAGATGGCAACTGCCCCTTCGTAAGTATTCGGTAGTCGGCTCGGTACATCTAACACTTTGGGACCTAGAGCCTGCTGTCAGTCGGTGTGGAGCGTTCGCGCGGAGCGTTGCGTCTTCTCTCGCCGTTCATCTTACGCGCATCGTTAACGTGATCGACGCCGTCCCAAGGCAGGAAGCGGTCTCGCTCTTCACCCTGTTCTGGACGTTGTCCTGGACGGTCTTCGTCGAGGTCGGGACGAGAGGACACACCGAGACAAAGGAAGAGCGACGGAAGAGGATCACCTCGAAGCGGAGGGACCAGCTGGAGGCTCCTTGGTGGAATCTCTGGAGAAGTGAATCGGAATGATGCCTGCGGGGATGGAGATCTTCACGCATTAGGTAACTAGCACACTCAGCGTTGAATCTCGTGCGAGGCTCAAACTGGCTTGACGAGGCGAATATAGGCGGGATTCTCCGAGAGGCGACATGCCCGTCCGGGCTCGAATCGTCCATCACGAGGAAAAGTTGCAAAAGCTCGGTCAAATTGCCGCTTTCAGCCTCTCTCTCTTTCTTTCTCTTTCTCCCTCTCTTTTGCATGTCTCCTATTTATTTATTACATCACTTTTATTTCATTTACTATTATTTCCTTTTTACTTTGCTTCTCATCGTAGTCGTGACGACATCGTTCTTGATCGACCGGATGTCTTCACGATCGGTTCTCCTCAATGGCGACTCGGTCATACCGATCACTCGCGAATTTCACGGAGTCCTGTTCGTCCTAATTTTCCAACCGGTGAGACGTTTTGCTTGACAGGGGAGGAGGGAGGGGGAGAGGGAGGGGGTAACGGTGACATTCTTCGCATATTTGCGGCAGTCGTTGATAAATACAAGTACCTCGTTGCGTTAGTGACGATTCTGTTTTCGAAGCTGTCTGTTTGTAACACGCGGTTTTAAATTTTTTTCCCCGACTCGAAACTTCCTCGGAACGCCGTGGTTTCGGGCCCGAGACCGTTCTCTCCCTCTCTCTCTCTCTCTCTCTCTGTCGTTCGGTCGGCGATGTCTCAGTTGCGCGATAACAATGATGATTTTCGATGATACGGCTGGATTCACACTGTCCGCCGATCCTTCGGATCAAAATATCCGCTACTGTCATAATTAATATCAAAAGCGCCGATGAATGTTCAAATTAATAATAGTAATAATATTTGCTTTATTACCGTTGGAAAATGTTTCGACCGAAGATTAGTGGACAATGTGAATCCCGCCTTACTCGGCAGAACGGAGAAGCATGACGTTCGGAGTGAATTTCACTCGCAATCCGACGACGAACGTGACAAATCGACGGATTTTCCATTTCGATGACTGTTTTGTGGATTATAATTATTGATAATATTATCGAGATGCAGGACACGAATTTTCCGATCGGTTGCCACATACAAAAACGCGAAATCTCACGGGCACAATTGTTTTACGTACAATAAATGTCTTAAGTCTTAAGCCTTGAGAGATTAACCAATTACAGCCGAGAGTGAGGGGAACGATCGACCGTGATTGACCAATCCCTCAAGGCTTAAAACATTTATAGATTACGGGGATTACCGATTCTTGTCTCTCATCGGCAAGTTATGAACGCGCCGGTTTCGAACGTCCGGACGCGCAGGACGACGTTTGTTTACGCGACGAGTCGCCGACGAGACAACGATATTTGCAGTCATGACATTTTGTCGCCCTTGTAAGCGAGCCTCGTCGGCACAATCGAATTGCGAGCCACCACTCGTTCTGTTGTTCGCCTCTCTCGGAGTTCCCGCGGCAGACGGAAACCCCGCGCGAAGTCGAGGAATGAAGAGCGATCGAACGTCCCGATGGAGAACTGGGAGATGCGCGATTCTCATTATCGCTTTCAGGCCGGGCCTTCTCTCGACGAGCCAACCGGGAGTCGAGAGGGTGAATTCACCTCTCGATTCCCGCCACCCTCTCGCCCCGCTCGCTTCCCTCCTCCCGCTCGTACGCACTTGTCGTAAATTCCCGCGTCCCGCGTGGCATTTTGCGACAGGGCTCGCAGGAGGGAGAGACGTCCGGTATCCTTGGAGAATTTGAAATTGAACCGTTGATAAATATTATTGGACTATTGGATTCTGTTTTCGCGGCCGTGTTTGCCACGCGATGTTTGTGAATTTCCGCTCTTGGCGGAGACAAATATGTAAACAATTGTCTGGATCATTATCTCTCGAATACGTTTCGTATTCGTTTATCGTCGTTTTTCATTCCGTCGCTCGTTTACCATTCGCGCGAATTATCGTTCCACGATATATCCGGGCGAAATTGTTGTTCGCGTTATTACGGTAGACACGCTTCATACAAATAGGAATTCGGTTTGTGCCCGACTAACAGACAGAGAAACGGAGAGAGATATTTGTCGTCGGGCGATTTTGCTCGCGTAATTCCATGATTGTAGAATTATTCCGACGTTCCGGTCATTTTGAAGACCGCGAATGATTACTCACTCGCGCGTACGGCGGAATAAATTTCGATTGTCGACATTTGCGACGGTAGACGAATGCGAATTCGAGAG